TATCACCCACTGAGACTTTCTTTCCCCAAATCCAATGAGAGTTCAGCTGGAGCCTGTGGGGGCCTCCTTCTTTTAAGCCAGAGAGTTCTCTATATTCTATAGCTGGACAGGCCAAGGGCCTGCTCTTCCCACTTCTACCCAAAGTCAGGCCTCAGATCTAATCCTGATGTTGTGGGCACTCCATCATGGAAGAAGGGCCGTGTGAGAGGAGAGAGGGAGACGGAACTTGCCCCCGCTGCCTTGACCAGCTCCAGGCCCTTCTTGGCTAGGGGATGAGAAGGCTGGGGGGGTTTAATGGAAAGGAAGACTAATTTTCTGTAAATTTTTTTATTTTATTTTTCAGGGACAGAGTCTTGTTGTCATCTTTGAGATGCCATTTACAGTTGTGTCACACAGGTTGGAGTGCAGTGGCATGATCTTGGCTCACTGCAACCTCCACCTCCCAGGTTCAAGAGATTCTCCTGCCTCAGTCACCGAAGTAGCTGGGATTATAGGTGTTCACCACCACACCTGGCTAATTTCTATATTTTTAGTAGAGACATATTTTCACCATGTTGGCTAGGCTGATCTTGAACTTCTGGCCTCAAGTAATCCACCGGCCTTGGCCTCTCAAAGTGCTGAGATTATAGGTGTGAGCCACTGTGCCTGGTCTTGGAAGGCTAATAATTTTCAAGGAAGAGACACTCTTTCAAGTCCTCCCTTTTCTTCTTTCCTAGACATCAGTCATTCTACCAGCTTCCTGACTCTCTTCTGCATTGCCTTTCTCCTCTGGTTCTCCGCCCCACCCCCACCCCCACCATGTTTCAGTGTTTTCCAGTGTTCTGCCATTGGGCTCCTGACTGTCTCTGTGCTACCTGGATATCTCACCTGCACCCATACCTTCAACTACCGTTCATATATCCACAACTTTCAAGACAATTTTTTCCCTAGATAGTCAGCAGATAACATCATCACAGCCGAGTACCTGGTGTGGCAGGATACTTGGCTTTTGATAGCCATTGAGTTAGTGGTGAGCAGGGAATGGAAGAGCCCAGGATAGCTCCAAAGAGGACTTCCAGAAATGTTTTCAGTTATCAGTACTATTGGAATTAGGGCATATAGTCTCCATTTAAAGGGCAGCATTCATGTAAGTGTTTAATATCTGATTCATTTTTAAAGAAGTCTTTCCAACTAATTTGTAGGCACCTGGAGGGAAAAGCAATGAAACTTTGTTAAACTGCTCCCTGAGATGAAATATCTGACACCCCTATAATTGGATCTGGGTCCCATCTGTGCAGAGAGCATGGCACAGGCTGGAGGCAGATGGCATCTTTGAGATGCCATTTACAGTTGTCATAGTGAATGAGCAAGAAGAAAGGACAAGAAAGAAAACTCCTTTCTAATCTCTGCTTGGATAACAAAGGAAGTGAGAGTAAAAAAGAAATTTGCCTTGCTGGCAACTCAGAGAGAAGATGAGGGCTGGGCCGGTGCCTTTTCTTTTTGGACCGGGTAGTGAGTTAGCATCAAAGGGACATGTGAGTGAGCAGAGATGCCATGAGTTCTGGGGCTTTGAAGGGCAGCAAAGAGGGTAGAGGCCAGAAATATCTGGGGCTTGTTCAGGCCGATAAAAGACTGGGGCCAACATCATCTTTATGCTACCCACTGGGGTGAACTGATAAAGTCATTGTGTCTCTTAGGTACCCATGCCCACAATTGGAGTATTTCTCTTTTTTTTCTTTTCTTTGTTTCTTTTTTCCAATGGAGTCTCCCTCTGTCACCTAGACTGCAGTGCAGTGGCCCAATCTTGGCTCACTGCAACCTCTGCCTCCTGGGGTCAAGCAATTCTAGTGCCTCAGCCTCCCAAGTAGCTGGAATTACAGGTGTGTACCACCACACCTGGCTAATTTTTTGTATTTTTGGTAGAGACAGGGTTTCACCATGTTTCCCAGGCTGGTCTCAAACTCCTGACCTCAAGTGATCTGCCCGTCTCAGCCATCCAAAGTGCTAGGATTACAGGCGTGAGCCACCACACTTGCCTAGGCCACAATTGGAGTATTTCTTTGATTTCGAATCAGCTGTTTTCTGGGGAGAAATACTGATATGGAGAACCAGGAATGCTGCAGACAGCTGTATGTGGCCTTTCTGGTATCTCGGCAAGAGTTTGCCTAGTTTCCTCTCTCTGCCTCCATTGATTTTCACTTGCTAATAGATGACCTGGGCTGACCCAAGACCAGGTCATGTGGGACACCGAATCTAGGCATTGCTGTTGAAGGGATGATTTAGTAAAGAATAAACACTTCTTTTGGCAAAGAGATCAGTAGATCTGGGTCAATCCAAAGCTAGCAGTGGTTCTGAGTACAGGAGAAGAGGGTTGACCCTACAGGTATCTAAGCTGCAGGCTTCCTTTCACACTTGGAGACTACGAAGTGAGATTGACTAGAAGGGAGAAACAGGAGCTGAGTTGTGGAGAGTCATTTTCTGAGATGGAGAATTAACTTTCTCACTCTTCTTAGATAGGAGCCTGTCGTTGGGTTTCCCAGAAAGCAGAACCTGAGGCAGAGGGCTTATATTTATTATGCAGTAGACCATCAAACCCCAGGCATCAGGATGGGGAACCAAAGGCAGTAAAGCCAGGGAAGGAGAGCCCGTGTAGGATGCCTGATTGTACCGGTCTCCACGGAGGGCGGGTATTACCCCATCTGTGTGACTGTGTCCTTTGATGCTGAAGAAACTAAGTCTTTGTTGGACAGCCCTTCACAGGAAAGAAGGGAGGAAGGATTTATCTACCAGTTCCTGTCCCTATGGGATTTTAACTCCCCTGCACTTCCAGATGGCATGTGCTGGGGTGTGGGTGCCACAGCAGGGAAGCCCCAGAATAGGAGACAAGACCTGTTCATGTTGTCAAAACCCATGCAGGGATCAGACAAGGAGCAGGGGAAGATGAGAGAGGCTGATGAGTTCTTAAGAGGTGTCTGCCTCAATGGGAAAGCTTGAACTGGGGTTGCAGAATATCCCTGCTTGGTGACATGACGAAAACTTTTTCCAGGAATAATTGTATGATAGCTTCTATCTGCAGGAATTTTGTTTGTTTGTTTTTGTTTTTGAGATGGAGTCTCACTCTGTCACCCAGGCTGGAGTACAGTGGTGGGATCTCGGCTCACTGCAACCTCCGCCTCCCAGGTTCAAGTGATTCTCATGCCTCAGTCTCCCAAGTAGCTGGGACTACAGGTGCGTGCCACTGCACTCGGCTAATTTTTGTATTTTTAGTAGAGTTGGGATTTCGCCATGTTAGCCAGGCTGGTCTCAAATTCCTGACCTCACGTGACCAACCTGCCTTGGCCTCCCAAAGTGTAGGGACTGCAGTTGTGAGCTACCGTGCCCTGCCTGTTTTTGATGTTATTGTAAATGAAATTGTTTTCTTAATTTCATCTTTGGACTGCTCGTTGCTAGTGTATAGAAACACAATAGATTTTTATGCCAGGTGCAGTGGTGCATGCCTGTCGTCCCAGCTACTAGGGAGGCTGAGGCTAGAGGATTGCCTGAGTCCAGGAGTTCTGGGATGTAGTGCGCTATGCCAATCGGGTGTCCGCACTAAGTTTGGCATCAATATAGTGACCTCCCAGGAGTAGGGGACCACCAGGTTGCCTAAGGAGGGGTGAACCGGCCCAGGTCGGAAACAGAGCAGGTCAAAACTCCTGTGCCAATCAGTAGTGGGATTGCGCCTGTGAATAGCCACTGCACTCCAGCCTGGGCAACATAGCAAGATCCTGGCTCTAAAAAAAAAAAAGAAACAATAGATTTTTGTACATTGATCTTGTATCCTGCAACCTCGCTGAACTCCTTTCTCAGCTCTAATAGTTTTTTTGGTGTGGATTCTTTAGGGTTTTCTATATATAAGATCATATAATTTACAAGTAGAGATAGTTTTACTTGTCTGTAGGGAGTTTTATTTTGTTATTTTGAGACGGAGTTTTGCTCTGTCGCCTAGGCTGGAGTGCTGTGATACAATCTTGGCTCACTGCAACCTCTGCCTTCTGAGTTCAAGCGATTCTCCTGCCTCTCAGCCTCTTAAGTAGTTAGGACTACAGGCACGTGCCACCATACCCCGCTAAGTTTTGTATTTTTAATACAGATGGGGTTTTGCCATGTTGGCCATGCTGGTCTCAAACTTCTGAGCTCAGGTGATCTGCCCACCTTGGCCTCCCAAGGTGCTGGGATTACAGGTATGAGCCACTGCGCTTGGCTGGGAATTTGATTTTAAAGAAATAAAAAATTAGATCCCCTTCCACTCTTCCTGTCTGAACAACCACTTGAGGATTGACTGAGACGGTTGGAAACTATGTTACCTCGGGGAACCGAGGCCTTCATATGGTTTCCCACATTGCTATATTACCTGGAATATATGCAGAATATTTAAAAGAAGAACAACCCAAAGAAATCAGTGGCTTCCTGATAGACCAGGATTAAATAGCTTCAGTTAAAGGAGTCCCAGAATTACCTAGGAACCTTGTGGAGAAGTTCTTCAGTTTGCCCCAACCTGCTTCTGAGGCTTGATCCTGTGTAGTGAGACATGTCATTTTCCCCCTTGGGATAGCAGTGACTTGAAGAAGAGTGCCACACCACCCTGCTGGGATGAGAAAGGTGGAAGCAGGTCTTACCTGTGTAGTTGCAGGGAGGGGCTCACTCAGGACCCAGCCCTGGGCCTTGTTCGATCCTACCCGAGTGGGATGCCAGTGGCATCCAGTGGCCTGTCAGGTGAATCACAGGTTGGAATTCTGTTCTGTACCCAAGCAGGAATCTTTCCCTTCCCTCTAAATCAGGTAATGGGCCACACTCATTCATGATGAAGAGAAGCTGGGTGATTGGCTTGGAAGAGCTTGCATTGCCTAACTCAGTGTCTGCCTCTGAGGATGAATGGTGACCTGCAGAGATACCAGCTGTGCAGATAAACTAATCTCCTTTAGAATTTTCCCCAAGCCCATTGGTGCATTTTGTGAGTCGACTGCCTTTTTCTCTTTTAGAAATTCTGACAAAAATTAATGATGTATCAGTGTTTAATGATACCTGTGTGAGATGGCAAATGAATTCAGAAAGAATAAACTCCAAGATTGTATATGTGGTAAGTAAAGTGATCTACTTTTTCCTGCTAGGACAGACACCGTCACCCCTGGGAATATGAGTCAGAGGGACTTAATTCCATGACAGCTTCTCAATCTAATTGGTTTTTTTTCTTTTTTCTTTTTGAGACAGAGTCTCACTTTGCAGTGCAGTGCTGTGATCTTGGCTCACTGCAACCTCAGCCTCCTGGATTCAAGCAATTCTCCTGCATTAGCCTCCTGAGTAGCTGGGATTACAGGTGCACGCCACCATGCTTGGCTAATTTTTTTGTATTTTCAGTAGAGACAGGGTTTCACCATGTTGGCCAGGCTGGTCTTGAACTTCTGACCTCAGGTGATCCACCTACCTCAGCCTCCCAAAGTGCTGGGATTACAGGCATGAGCCACCGTAACTGGCCTCAATCTAATTGCTTTCTAATGCCACTGTCATTTAAAAAGAATGGACAGGATTTTCAAGGATAACTGGATTATTTTGTTATTTTACATTTAGCATATGTGTCATTCGGCAGGGTGCATGTGTGCGGGATGCGTTTATATTTGGCATCCTCATGATTGTTTTCAAGCACTTGCATTTCACTCCCCCAGAGCAAGCCTGGGAATGTCTGCTGACTTGGTGACAGAGTGCAGCCGGTGGTCCTCAGGTTGCAATCGCCTCTATTTGATCATTTGTGTGCAGGAGAGAGCACTTCCTAGGGAGATTCCTCATTTATGTCTTTTTTAGGGTTTTAGTAATCACTGGGCGAATCAGAGTTTATCAGTAGATACCTGGTAGCAGAGGTTTATTTATCAGCAGATACCTGGTAGCAGAGGTTTACCTTATATGAATGCTCCCTGGCTGAGCAGCGCAGTATAAAATGGAATAGTAGAAGGGGCTCCAGCACCACAAATTCTGGATTGTTTTGACTGGAGTCACAGTGGGTTCTCTTGTCTTTTCCTCTTAAAGATATCCGTAAAAGGACAACGGTTGGACGCTATAGAATCAGTTCATGAGGAGACAGTCAAGTTGACCACAGACAGCAGGACCCCAGAAGTGTGCCTCGCCTTGTATCCAGGCACCAACTACACCGTGCACATCTCCGTAGCACCTCCCCGGCGCTCTGTGCCAGCAGTCATTGGTTTCCAGACAGCTGGTAGGTGGAGGTGAAGTCTCATTTCCATTTCCTTGTAGAAAATGCTAAGCACAGGATGTAGGAAGCATGCTGCAGAATCAGCTGGGCTCGAGAGCTCCTATTTGCTTTCTGAGATTTATAATCAGATGTAGTTGCTCCAGTGGCAGAACCACAGCTGGTTGAGAGATCCCCATCCTCTTGGTTCCAGGCTGAATGGGCTCTGGGGCGTTTTTTTTTTCAGCTGAGCCCTCCAGAAGAGGTGGAAGGTAATAAAAAGGCATTTAAAAAGAAAACATTAGGTGATGATCAGTCCATTCTCAAATATCCAAGGCAACAGAGGGTAACCATGTGGCTTATCTTTGGTAGTAAACTCAAAAGTCATTTTTGGCCAGGTGTGGTGGCTCATGCCTATAATTGCAGCACTTTGGGAGGCTGAAGTAGGTGGATCACTTGAGGTCAGGAGTTCCAGACCAGCCTGGCCAGATGGCAAAACCCTGTCTCTGTTAAAAATAGAAAACCTTAGCCGGGCATGGTGGTATACACCTGTAGTCCCGACAACTTGGGAGGTTGAGGCAAAAGAATCACTTGAACCCGGAGGGTGGAGGTTGCAGTGAGTGAGCCGAGATTGCACCACTGCACCACTCCCGCCTGGGCCACAGAGTAAGTCTCTGTCTCAAAAAAAAAAAAAAAAAAAAAAGAGTCACTTCTCACCCTTGTATGTGAAAGTGGAGATGCCAGGAAAGCTGACCCAGTAACTTTGAGGGGATCGAGTTGAGAGTGCGGAAGTGGAAGCCGCGGTACTCCTAGGGTGCAGGTGTTAGCTGAAAAGCGGAGTGGAAGGAAGGAGCTTAAAGAAGTAGAAATAGCCCTCGTTGTATATAATTGTCACATGGGTTCTTTTTTTTTTTTTTTTTTTAACAACATTGTGACAATTACAGTAAGTTAAAAAAAAAACAACCCTCTGGTTATGGGGTATGAGGACTGACTAAATACCTTGTAGATAGGTGGGGTGCACTGGCTCATGCCTATAATCCTAGCACTTTGGGAGGCTGAGGAAGATTGTTTGAGGCTAGGAGTTTGAGGTCAACCTGGGCACAGGTTGTAGAGATGGGGTCTCAACACAGTGAGACCCCATTGCTAAAAAAAAAAAAAAAGAAAGAAAGAAAATTTAGCCTGGTGTGGTGGTGCATGCCTATAGTCCCAGTTACTTGGGTGACTGAGGCAAGAGGATCACTTTAACCCAGTAGTTCAAGGCTGCAGTGAACTATAATCGTGCCACTGCACTCCAACCTGGGTGACAGGGCAAGATCCTGTCTTAGAAAACAAACAAACAAACAAACAAACAAAAACTCTGAAGACAAACTTGGAAATAATTGATGTCATTTATATATTTATTTTTTGAGACAGAGTCTCGCCCTGTCGCCCAGGCTGGAGTGCAATGGTGTGATCTGGGCTCACTGTAATCTCCGCTCACTGCAATCTCTGCTTCCCAGGTTCAAGCAATTCTCCTGCCTCAGTCTTCTGAGTAGCTGGGATTACAGGCACTCGCTACCAGGACCTGGCTAATTTTTGTATTTTTAGTAGAGACCAGGTGTCACCATATTGGCCAGGTCTCAAACTCCTGACCTCAAGTGATCTGCCCACCTCAGCCTCCCAAAGTGCTGGAATTACAGGTGTGAACCACCACACCTGGCTGATGTCATTTATTATTTTGGGGGAGTTGAGGAAGTTCTTAATTAGCTGTTTGATATCCCACCTAAAATATACCTTAACCCGACTAGTTGGGAAATGACACATATTCAGCAGAAATAGTTGAAAAGTCTGCCAATCTTTTTTTTTTTTTGAGACAGAGTCTCTGTCACTCAGGCTGGAGTGCAGTGGTGTGATCTTGGCTTACTGCAACCTCTGCCTCCTGGGATTCAAGCGATTCTTCTGCCTCAGCCTCCTGAGTAGCTAGGATTACAGGCTCCCACCACCACGCCCAGCTAATTTTTGTATTTTTTAGTAGAGACGGGTTCCACTATGTTGGTCAGGCTGGTCTCGAACTCCTGACCTCAGGTGATCCGCCTGCCTTGGCCTCCCAAAGTGCTGGGATTACAGGCGTGAGACATCGCACCCAGCCAAGTCTGCCAATCCTAAGAATATAAAACCAAGTATGAGATTATACAAATTAGATCTCTTGATATTTGTATATAAATAAAACAAAATTAATTCTTTATAAGTAAATAATAGGCAAAGATATTATAAAATTAATATGGAAACTAATCAGAGAAGTCTTACAAATTTATTAGTAAACTACTATAGGGAAATGTCTTTAAATGATAATCACTCACCTGTCACTGTTCAGTGAGGATGACTGGTTGCTGTTTGGTTTGGTTTTTATTAATATCCAATTACCTGCTCAAGGTCCTTTCCCTTGGAAAAAAACACGGTCTTTGGAGTCAGGCAGATCCAGTTTTACATCTTAACTCTGTATTGAAGAGCTGGCTGATCATGGCTAAGTTTAGTCTCTGGACTAAAGGGAATTGGATTATATTTGCAAGTTAATCTAGAGAGAATTAGGATTTATATTGAGTCATCCTAACTGGGAGCAAGGTATGTTTCCACATTTACTCAGTGTCTACTCAAGTCCTCTGTTTATTTATGTACTGCTATAAAGATTTGTCATCCTTTTCCTCCAGATCTTGCACCTTCTGTTGTCTGATTTCATTATCAGAGTTATGCTATTTTCTTAAAATGGATTGAGAAGTTTTCCATTTTTTTCCCTCTGGAATAGTTTATATCACATTGGAATTATTCCCTTCCTTTAAAGTTGGACATTTGCTCAAAAGATCATTTAAGTTTCACCCCTTTAAGGAGATGATTCTTTGACAACTTTGCCAATTTCTTCCATGAGTTTGGGTCTGTTTATGTTTCTGACATTTTCTTGAGTCAATTTTTATAATTTATATATTTTTCTAAAAAATGTATATTTGGTTTACATGTTATACATATTGACAGAATGTCATATGGAATATTTGCTTACATCTCCTCTGGGGCTATAGGTTATATAATCCCAGGTGATTCTGACTCCTAATTTTGGTTCTCATTCTCTTTTTAGAGGTTGATTGGCTTGGGTTGTGAGTTTTATTACTAATTTTTTTCTCCCTGGGGTATGAACTATTGGGTTTTAAAATTGTATTTCTTTTCTCCTTTTGTTTTTATTTTTCCTTCTCCATGTTTCTCTCTCTCTCTCTCTCTCTCTCTCTCTTTTTCGAGACACCCAGCTCTGTCAGCCAGGCTGGAGTGCAGTGGTGCAATCACAGCTTGACCTCCTGGGCTCAAGTGATCCTCCCACCTCAGCCTCCCCAGTAGCTGGGACTACAGGCATGCACCACTATGCCTGGCAAATTTTTGTATTTTTTATAGAGACAGGGTTTCGCCATGTTGTCCAGGCTGGTCTCGAACATTTGGGCTCAATCGATCCACTTGCCTCGGCCTCCCCAAGTACTGGGATTATTGGTGTGAGTCACTGTGCACAGTCCATATTTCTGTTAAATTGGTTATATTGTTCTGTTTCTAAATTCTTGAGTTGAGTGCATAACAAAATTCAACTTATTTCCATTCTTTTCTGTTTGATAATAGAAGTCTTTAATGATTCTTTCTCCCTTCCAGTTTTGAGCTTTGGCAGAATTCTTTAGGCATTGATATATATTTCAAGGAATGATATAATTGCTATTCTGATTTTATGGTTGATGAAATAATTATTTATGAGTGTTTTAATATGTGTTCTCTTTACGTTTACTTTCAAAGCATTATTCAATTACTATTTTGATTTCTCCTTTGAATAATTAATTATAAGCATTTTATACAGTGGTAGATTTTTTTCTGTTTAACATTTATACTGTGTTGTTACTTTCTAGTTTTATTACATTTTGGCATGTTTTGGGGCGTTTACTGACATTTTCTTGGGGCTTTCCATTTGGCCAACTTTGGTAATTTCAGTAGGTACTAGATAATAAGGCAGAGTATTTGCTTGTAAGGGGAGTAAGATCTATCATTAAGTCAACTTTATTAATAAGGTTATTCAGGACTTCTGGTTTTTCTTTATTTTCAACGTGGATTGTCATTTTCTGTTCCTCCTAGAGATTCCTATTACTTTGTTTCACACATTTTGATATGATATTTATGTTCACGACTGATATCTTTATTATAGATTCTTTCACTAGTGACAAATGGCTTATTTTAGCCTATTTAATACCTTTGCCTTGAATTATATGTTGAAAGTAATATTTTTTCTTGATTTATTTGTGCTTGCATTAGCATGATATTCCTTTGTCTACTTTTTTTCCTTCTTGAAAGCTATCTAAATAATATTGCTATAAATGTACTCTAGGAGACAGCATGTATTGAGAACTTTCCTGGGAAAACTTTCATTTTTGAGTAGATAAGTCATCCAACTTACATCATTGTTATTTGTGATATATTTTCCTTTCTTCTGTTTATTTATTTGTTTGAGATGGAATCTCACTGTGTTACCCAGGCTAGAGTGCACTGGCCCAATCTTGGCTCACTGCAACCTTGGCCTCCCAGGTTCAAGCAATTCTTGTGCCTCAGCCTCCCACAGCTGGGATTACAGGCATGAGTCACCATGGCCCCCCCCTTTTTTTTTTTTTTTTTTTTTCTTTGAGATACACTTTAGCTCTGTTGGCCGGACTGGAGTACATGGTGCAACTGTGGCTCACTGCAGCCTTGACCTTCCACGCTCAAGCAATCCTCCCACCTCAGCTCCTAAGTAGCTGGAACCACAGGTGTGCACCATCATTTAATTTTTTTATTTTTTAAATTTTTGTAAAGACTGTATTGCCCAGGCTGGTCCTGAACTCCTGGCCTCACGGGATCCTCCCACCTCGGCCTCCCAAAATGCTGGGATTACAGGTGTGAGCCTTTGTGCCTGGCCTGTTTTTTCTCTTTTTTATGCTACTTTGCTCTGTCTTTTGTTTTCTTTTTCTTACACAGATTTTCTTTTCCAGTGAGTCAGA